CGTAGTAAGTTAGATCCTTGTGCAATTCAATGTATTTTTCTGGGATGTAATGGCCAGCAAAACGGGTACCAATGTCATCACCCTCAAACCAAGCATATGTACGCCACCATGGATGTTACTTTTTTCGAGCACGAGATGTTTTTCCTCATTGAACAACCCTCCTATAATCTTCAAGGGGAAATGACACATGAGATTATAGTTGGATTAATCTTCCAATTAAGCAACTCGTGTGTCCAGGAGCAATGGGTTTGCGTGATAGTGAGCCTAGCAGAATAGTTGAGCCTAGTCTGGATTTGAGTGGTCATAAGCTTAGCGGCACAGTCGAGCCCAATCTGGGTTTAAGTGATCATGAGTCCTAGTAGCATAATTGAGCCCAATTTGGGCTAGCTAGAACAAGGAAATGGAAGAACCAAAAGATAGGCCTATGGGCATTTCTTAGCCCAGCAACCAAAATATGTCATCACAACCCAAAGAGCAGTGCAGCATCGAGTTGTGTCATTCAACCCAAAGTTTTGACAACCCAAGCATTTCAAGAAATAACCCTTCTCTAGTGGTACCCGTCCTTGTGCCTAAGGATATCCACGAGGTAAGTTCATCTTAATCCAATGGAGCTCATAATTTGACTAATATTGAAAGTACTTACATACTGCCTTTTAGACAAAATCGTGGAAAACCTCTTGACAGGTATTCTCCGAACGAAAAGGTTAGATATGCAATTGCAAAGTATGTCTCTACGCATCGACTGTCTTCCAAGTACCAAGCCTTGGTGAATACAATGGAAGAAATTAAAATTCCAACAAAAGTGGAAGAAGCTCTGCAGGATCCTAGATGGGCAGAAGCAATTGAGGTTGAAATGAAGGCCTTACAGAAAAATAGAACTTGGAGCGTGGAGTCACTATCTCAAGGAAAGAGACTAGTGGGATGCAAATGGGTATTCACCATCAAACACAGAGCGGATAGAACAATTGATAGATACAAGGCAAGGTTGGTTGCTAAGGGGTACACACAGACTTTTAGAGTAGATTATCAGGAGACATTTGCTCCTATTGCAAAGATGAATACCATAAGAGTTTTTTTGTCTTTAGCTGTTAACTTTGATTGGCCATTGAAACAATTTGATGTAAAAAATGCGTTTCTACATGGAAACTTGGAGGAAGAAGTGTGCATGGAGCTCCTACCTGGGTATGAAGTGCAGAATGAAGCAGGCAAAGTATGTAGACTGCGAAAGGCTTTTTATAGACTCAAACAATCATCGAGGGCTTGGTTTGGAAGATTCATTGATGCAATGAAGAGATATGGTTACTAACAAGGAAATGCGGTCACACTTTTTATCAAACGCATGGGAGGTAAGGTCATCTTGTTGATAATATATGTGGATGATATGGTGGTTATAGGTGATGATACAGAAGAGATAGAGAGACTACGTGTGTATCTCTCTTCAGAGTTTGAGATGAAAGATCTAGGAGGTTTGAAGTACTTCTTGGGAATTGAAGTTGCTCGTTCCCGTGATGGGATTTACTTATCTTAATGGTAGTATGTTATAGATTTGTTGTCTGAGACAAGGATGTTGGCATGTAAACCAGCAGAAACACCTATTGTTCAAAATCATCATTTTGGCAATCTACTCGGACCAAGTTCCAGTGAACAGAGAAAGATACCAGAGGTTAGTATGAAGGTTAATTTACTTGTCTCTCATAAGACTAGATATTGTATATGTTGTTAGTGTAGTAAGTCAGTTTATGCACTCTCCTAGTGAGGATCACATGGCTGCGGTGATGAGAATATTAAGTTATTTGAAAGGTGCACCTGGTAAAGGATTGATTTTCAGGAAATATGGACATTTGGAGGTAAAAGGATACACTGATGCTGACTTGGGCTGGGAACATCACTGATAGGTGTTCTACATCATGATACTTTACATTTGTTGGAGGAAATCTTGTGACTTGGAGGTGCAAGAAACAAAATGTGGTTGCTAGGTCCACGGCAGAGGCCGAATACCGTGGTATGGCACATGGGATTTGTGAGTTATTATGGCTGAGAATTCTTCTTACAGAAATTGGGTTCAAACCATGTGGGGCTATGCTATTATATTGTGATAATCAGGCTTCGAGAGAGATAGCTAATAATCCAATTCAGCATGATCGTACGAAGCATGTTGAGGTGGATAGACATTTTATCAAAGAGAAGTTGGATGTTAAGAAAATTGATATTCCCTACGTAAGATCTGAAGACCAGTTAGCAGACGTGTTAACTCATGCAATGACGATTAGAGTGTTTTAGGACTCACTTGACAAGTTGGGCCTAGGTGATATCTACACACCAACTTGAGGGGGAGTGTTGCATGAGTCAACCTTGGGGATTAAGGAATGTAGAGTTATTTTGGGTATGAAATTATGTAATTGGTATTCCTAATTTGTTGGAGATTGTATAAGTATATATATTCCTCTTTATGAAAAGAATAAAATTAGAACATTATTAACCAAAAACATAGAATTCTATCTCCAAATGTTAAAAATTACGAACTTAAGAATAATAAACTGATATTTACCCCTTAAATTATGTACAAAGCATTAAAACAAACGTACTTGGATGGGCAGAGCTTTGCTTTCTGAATACAAAAAGGAAAAAGACATTCATGAGAGCACAAACTTGATATTTCTACATGTAATGCAGCATGTGATCCTCTGAAACATTGTCATGCAAAAATTAATATAAGCACACAAGAAAAATGCAAACCTTTGCCGATGTGATTGATTTATGTTAGCATTCACAACAATATGACATATATGGATGTTTATTAGGTGTGTTCTATTGTTTGATGTTTTATAATTGAGACATGTTGCAATTTATTAAAGGGGGAACGTTAAGAGCATCTCCAGTGATCTCAAACTTTAACTTAAATTTCTTTTTCAGAATTCATTGTTGGAAAAAAAAAAAAAAAGGAAAAAAATGTGAGCGCATTTATTCTATGGGATAATCTAGTTTTGGTTTGAGATCTAAGTTTTCGAGTTTTTACCAAAGTTGTCCCTTGTTTTGGAAAAAATTATATGATGCACCGTTCTATAACATGAATCATGTAAATAATGACCAAATATGAAACAAGGAACTTAATAGTTAAGAATTCAACAACTAAAAATCTTAGTATTGCAATTCGAACCAATTCATACTAGAAAAAAAAATCTTTCGTTAGTCCCTTCATATCATAGAAAAACTTACATGTTTCGGATTCATAACTCTCGTTGTTAAGAAACAAGAGGGGTAGAATTTTTGTTGTAGCTAAGTTTTTCTTCTTTTTATCATGTCCCAATAATTAGATGATGACTTCCACCGCTCAACTCTATACGACGTGGTAGAAAAATCCACCTCCAGATTTTCACCTCCGTGGAACTTCCTCAAAGTAATGATATAATATATATATATATATATATATATATATTATATATAATTTTTTACTTTACGATGCAGCCGTGGGAACAATCGTCTCGTAATTGATTGCTGGTAAAATTGATTAGAAATGTTTCAGGGATTTTTTTTTTTTTTTTAAATAGAATTCTTTCTCACGTCAACACTATACATCATTATATAAAAAAGTATGAGACGCATATCTCAAATTTTATTGGCGAAGACCACAACTACTAAATGATGAGTCTAAATTTTTTTTTTTTTTAAACAATTGATATTATTTATAGTAAGTTGAGAAGGATAGGCTTACCTCATAATAAATTAACAATAATCAAATATAAAACATCATACTAACAAGTAAATAGAAATATCATTAGATCGTGATACTAAATGGCAACAATGAGCCTAATTTGTTGATGGTATGAGTTAACTTGTCCGATGGCGTGCCTGTCCACCATAGGAAGATTTCACATAGATCTACACCGTCGATGACGACAACTCCCCTTGCTGTCGGGTTTACACAGAGATGTCAAATCTCATCAAATTCAGTGGTCCCCCTTGATTTGACCATAGTTGATTAACATGATTAGTAAGTTTATTAATACATAATTACCATTGCTCAACCATACAAAATTCCAAATCCTACCTGCCTCCTTCCACAAAACCCAACAAACATTCCCATAAACAAAAAATAAAAATAAAATTTTTTAGAACGTGTTTCAAGTTTTAGTTTTATCACATCGTACCTTAAATTTTTAAATTGTATCAATTAATATTTACAGTTTTTTTGAATATTTAATCTTTCATTTTTAATTAATGATGTGGCATATATGGATTGCCATACAAGACACACTTACACATTATGTACCAAAATCTGCGGTTAGTTATCAGTTTGGAAGACAGAGCATCAATTCAAGATATTCTAAAGCTCGATATGGAGGGGTTTTTTTAATTTTTAATTTTTCTTTTAATCTTTTGCCCATGTAATGAAATGTGACTTACAAGTTAGTCCATTAAGAATCCCACACTCGACGTCAATTTAATGAAAATAAAAAGATGAGATGATCAAAATGACCTAACTGCATAAATTTGTATGATGTTAAAAAACCTTATGCAATATAAAATAATTAAAACTTTGTGGATCATTTTAAAATCTCTTTTAAAAAGTGCCTGAAAGATAATTAACCAAAGAAAAAAGAACAAAGATTGTTGTAAATGCAAAATCTCTATTAATTAATAAAATTCTCTCTGTCAATCAAAAGAGGATGAAAAGGCAAATTAGTCTTCTATCACACAAAAAAAATGATGGGCAATAATGTAATTTTACAGGTTCAAATTTTATTGTTTTTTATTGAAATCTCACATACCGGTGATGTTAAAATACCTTTAATAATAATAAAAAAAAAACCAAAAACAAAAACCTCCCATTTCGCCTCACATTCTCTCTCTCTTCCCCCCTCTGTCCTTCTCATTTTCTAAAAAAAATGTGTTCATATAAACAAAGTGTGTAGGCAAATACTAGTATCAATTATTGTGATGTGTATTTATAAATACCCCATGCTTTAGCTTCCCTCCTAGCACACACTCTCATCTCCTTCTCCCCTCTCCTTCTCATTTTCTAAAAAAACGTGTTCATACAAACAAAATGTGTAAACAAATACTATATCAATTATTATGATGCGTATTTATAAATACCCCATGCTTTACCGTCCCTCCTCACACGCACTCTCATCTCCTTCTCACTTTTTTCTTGTCTTTTCTCTTCTTTCTTCTTCAGTCTGTCTTAAATCCAGCACACAGACAAAAGGCTGCGAATTAAACTCAAGATCCAGTCCAACTCAGAATTGTAAGTCAATAAAGCTTCAATCTTTCCATTTTTTCTGTAATTAAACTAGTTTAATTTACTTAATCACGGGTCGATAGCTGTTAATCAAGGAAAAACTCCCTCAATGTAGACCCAGATCTCCTATTTTATGCATAAAGTAATTCGAATTTAAGCGTGTTTTATTGGGTTAACGGTAGTAAATTCAATGTGGGTTGTTATTTGTTTGCTTTACGAATGTTGGGTTTTTGGCAGATTCTTGTTTTTTAGTTGGGTACGATCTGGGTCGGTTTTGTGCTGCTTTTTTCATGATCCGAGTTGATTGCACTTCGCATTGTTGGTTGTTGGGGGGGGGGGGGTGTCTGGTTGCTTCGTTGGAAAATTGATTTCGAAAAACGAAATGCTTGTTTCTCTTTGAAAATCAAGTCAGGAATCCGTTAAAAGAAGCTATTTGTATGGCCGATTTAATTATTCATGAGAGTTTCTTGTTGCCTTCTTAATCCCTGCGGTTTTTTTTCTTTGATAGTAACTCTGCCATTATCTTAATTAGGCGGTTTTAGTTCGTTTGATAGATATTAAATATCTGATCAGATGTAAGAGTCGTCTTCCTTCTGTATTTTTTAAGTGCTCAGCGGAGGGGGATGCTAAATTTCTGCTAGTCCTTTTCGGATCAAGGTTTTGAATCGGCGCTCTTACAAGCAACATAAGTTTTTTCTTGTAGTATTTTTGGTTTTCCTGGAAATAATAATGCAGCAAATTTAACTGTATATATTTGGTGGAATCTGCCTTTTTAGTTTTGATTAGAGAATGGATGCCTTTGCACCTAAAATTTATTTTCCTTTCGTTGTTATCTCGGTTGAAATGCAGTCTAAGAATGATGAAGGTCTATTAAATTTGTAATTTATTAAGTTATAAACTCGTGAAACCTCAGTTGCAAGTTTGTTTTGTCCGTGAATATCCACTTTTTGTTTCCGTGTTAGTGGCAATATAACCCCTGTTTCTCCTGCATTCGTTAGCATGCTTTCTTGTAGTTCAAGTTTTGGGAGTCTGAGTCAAACTTTCAATGCTGGATTGTGCAGAACTCTTTTGGATCGACATGGATACTGCGTATAAACCAAAGAACATCCTCCTTACTGGAGCTGCTGGCTTCATTGCTTCCCATGTTTGCAACCGGCTTATCCAGAACTACCCTGGCTACAAGATTGTAGTCCTTGACAAGCTTGATTACTGTTCAAATTTGAAGAACCTTAATCCTTCAAAGTCATCCCCCAACTTTAAGTTTATCAAGGGAGACATAGGCAGTGCCGATCTTGTCAACTTCATCCTTTTGACTGAGAACATTGATACAATAATGCACTTTGCAGCCCAGACCCATGTCGACAACTCTTTTGGTAACAGCTTTGAGTTCACCCAAAACAACATCTACGGTACACATGTTCTTCTGGAAGCATGCAAAGTCACCGGTCAGATCAAAAGATTTATTCATGTAAGCACAGACGAAGTCTACGGGGAGACAGATGAGGATGCTGTGGTGGGAAATCATGAGGCTTCTCAGCTTCTTCCGACAAACCCCTACTCTGCAACTAAAGCTGGAGCGGAGATGCTTGTTATGGCATATGGGCGTTCATATGGATTGCCTGTAATAACGACCAGAGGAAACAATGTTTATGGCCCCAACCAGTTCCCTGAAAAGATGATTCCAAAATTCATTCTCTTGGCTATGCAAGGGAAGCCTCTCCCGATTCATGGCGATGGATCCAATGTCAGAAGTTATCTCTATTGTGAGGATGTAGCAGAGGCATTTGAAGTCATTCTTCATAGGGGTGAGGTAGGCCATGTGTACAACATTGGGACGAAGAAAGAGAGGAGGGTGGTTGATGTGGCCAAGGAAATTTGCCAGCTATTTTCTCTGAACCCAGACACTCATGTAAAGTTTGTAGAGAACAGGCCTTTCAATGATCAGAGATATTTCTTGGATGACTCGAAGCTGAAAGGCTTGGGATGGTCAGAAAGGACTTTGTGGGAGGAGGGCTTGAGGAAGACCATGGAATGGTATGTCAAGAATCCCCAATGGTGGGGGGATGTTTCTGGGGCACTGCTCCCGCATCCAAGAATGCTCATGGTTCCTGGAATTGAAAGGCAATTTGATGGTTCCGATACTGGCGATTCCGCTTACCCTTTGCCAGCAAGTGATTCTAGTCACAGCAAACTGGTCGTTCCAGCTCCAAGGAACATCCCATCTACTGAGAAGCCATCTCTAAAGTTTTTGATTTATGGTAAAACAGGGTGGATCGGAGGCCTTCTTGGGAAGATTTGTGAGAAGCAAGGGATATCGTATGAGTATGGACGAGGGCGTCTTCAGGAACGGTCACAGCTCATGGCTGATATTCTGCGTGTCAAACCAACCCATGTTTTCAATGCTGCTGGAGTGACTGGCAGACCCAATGTGGATTGGTGTGAATCTCATAAACCAGAAACAATTCGCACCAATGTTGTTGGTACATTAACCTTGGCTGATGTCTGCAGAGATCACGGCCTCGTAGTGGTGAATTATGCCACTGGTTGCATTTTCGAGTATGATGATGCCCATCCACCAAGATCAGGAATTGGGTTCAAGGAGGAAGACACACCCAATTTTGCAGGCTCATTTTATTCCAAAACCAAAGCCATGGTATTTTATCATCTATCGTATCTAATACTGTGATAATATTAGAATAGCTCCCAAGCTCCCAACTGATACCTCTATTTCCCATTTTTGTGTAACAGGTTGAAGAGCTTCTGAAGGAGTATGACAATGTTTGCACTCTTAGAGTTCGGATGCCAATATCATCTGATCTCAGCAATCCACGCAACTTCATCACAAAGATCTCGCGCTACAATAAGGTGGTCGACATTCCAAACAGCATGACCATCTTGGACGAGCTTCTACCCATTTCAATTGAGATGGCCAAGAGGAACTTGAGGGGCATCTGGAACTTCACAAACCCGGGCGTGGTAAGTCACAATGAGATCCTGGAGATGTACAAGAACTACATTGACCCCAGTTTCAAGTGGACCAATTTTACAGTGGAAGAACAAGCCAAGGTTATTGTTGCAGCAAGGAGTAACAATGAGATGGATGCATCAAAGCTGAAGAAAGAGTTCCCTGAACTGCTTCCGATTAAGGAATCGCTGATTAAATACGTGTTTGAACCCAACAAGAAAACATTTGCAGGTGGAGCAGCAATTTAAGTGTCTCATGAAGAAGACCTCGATACCGATCCTATACATTTATTTATTTATTTATTTTTCTTGAGGGAAATCGCTAGGGGTTTAGTTATTCTCATGTTGTGATTCCATCAGTGTCTGTGATAGCTTAGGTTAATTTCATAAGTTGGTGCTATTGGTTCTGGCTTGGCTATTGTGATATAAGAAGCTTTGGAATTGCTTCAGAAATATTTGAAGGATCTACTCTAAGTTGGGGCATCGTAATTTTCAGATATTTAATAAATTCATTATTTTTATTTATACAAGTTCTTTTTAGTCTATTGGTTAATATTTTGTGTGATTCTTCCAACTTTTTAGCCAAAAATAGTATGTGAGATTAGCATAACTCCTCACTTTGACTGTAAGATTTAAAATTAATAGAAGTAGTCCCTAGGTTTATTCACCAGTCAATCATTTTGGTCATTCCGTGAAATTTTTTATTAAATAAGGGTCAAATTGACAAAGATATTCTCAATTTAATAAGCAATAAGGTAAAATGATTTAACAAAAATTTAGGGTATTTATGTTATTTTATTCTTATTTAATTTTTCATAGAATGACTAAAATGATTGATAGTGGACAAACTCAAGGACCACTTTTATCCATCTCAAATCCTAGAGACCAAAGTGAGGAATTATACCAATCTCAATGACCATTTTAGCTAAAAAGCATTTTATACAAGCATGTCTGTCTCTAACCTATACATTCTCATCCCTTGGGTATATACATTGTTCTTAAGGATAGAGCAATCTCTTTACTTACGCCTTTCATGGTGGGTCGGAAAATTGAGTTTCGGTATGTTGTAAGAATCATATTCCTATAATGAGCCGAAACTTGAATTATATAAAAGCAATTCTAATTTTTTAACATATATGTTATATGAATCAAACTTAAAGTGCTCGATCACACAAGTATATTTGACATTGGAAAAAATATTGTGATTTATGACTTTCATAACACGTGCTAAGTGCTAACACACACCGAAAACAAGGGCTTGGTTCCTCAATATTGAGTAGAATGTCCTCTTAGTTTCATTTGATGGCTAATTACAGAATTTTATGTTTATGAACAAAAACTTAATTTAATTTTTTTTACAAAAATTAATTAAAATTAAAATTTAGTCAATCAATCCCTATAACAGATATATAAACGAATAAAAACTCTAAAATATAAAATATTCTAAAACACCATAAAATTTTCTTAAACATTGACCTCGTTAAAATGGATAATTTTCCTTTTTGTCGATTTTTAAATAATTTGTTTGATATTTCATATTTGCCACCGGCATGCGCGCACTTCAAAGGTGCTTTGAACCCAAATCAGAAAGATTTCTAGCGATTCCGAGCTACATTTCTACAGAACGATTTTGATACCTGTTCCAATCTCCTGTCCCAGCTCAAGGTAACTCTCCAATCCCCAAAACCCTAATTTTCTCCCCCAAATTTGAGTTTCTCAGCTGCTCCTGCATTTGAATTAGTCTAATATTCTTTCATTTATCTAATTAATGCTAAAGTATGATTCTTGTGAATTGCCGCAATGTTTTTAGGGTTTTGGGTCAATCAGAGTGTTCCATTTTTCGTTTTGAATTGTGCATTTGTTTGTGTTATGAATTTGATTTGTCCTAATTTGGGAGTTTTAAGTATTAGGGTTTTGATGTTGATGGAAATAATTGGGAAAACAGGTTCCGGGTATCGCTGGTTGTTTGCTGGTGTATGATATTCTTCGTTTGGGTATCCGAGAGGGTTCATTTGGCTGTACATTTTGATGGATAAGGAGGAGAATGCTACTGGTGATGGTGATCATGAGGAGGCTTCAGGGTATGCACGTGCTGTGGGTCCCGAAGAAGAAATAGAAGAAGATGTCGAGGATGACGAAGATGAGGAGGTGGAGGAAGATATGGGGATGAGGAAGTGAATGTTTTGAGTTTTATAGATGGGATTAATCCTTTGGATTTTGTGGAAGATGATGGTGACCAACTTTATCAGCGACTTCTGGGGACGGATTACGAGGCATTAGCCGAGAGAAAGAGAAAAGCACTTGTGGATAGCCGACCCGAAGGTTCAGCTAAGAAGGCCAGGAAGGAGGATCTTACTGGTGTAAGCATGGAGGAAATAATGGAGGCCATGAATTATATGTAATGATCAATAAATTCTGTTTAATTCTACGCCTACATGTATAAAAATTCTAGTAATCTATTTTATAGATAATAGATATTTAGACTTGAGTTGACGAACAACCAGTACCAATATTAGTGTTTATTAGTGTCGACTAGAAATGGGGCGTGGCCAAGTGGTAAGGCAACGGGTTTTGGTCCCGCTATTCGGAGGTTCGAATCCTTCCGTCCCAGAACATACCTGACCCACGATCATTTTATTAATCTATAATTTTATTAATCTATAATAAAAAATAAAATATATATCTATATCATAATAAAATAGATCAAAATAAAGATTGTCTTTTCGACCAGTCTTCCGTTTAAGAGTATAATATTGTTATAGAATGTGATTCTTATTTCTTTATAGAATGTGATTCTTATTCTTTTTTTTTTTTTAATCATATCTTTTTCACAAATTTAATCGAGTTCAAATAACACGCATATGAAACGAAATTTTGATTTGTTAAATATTACTGATTTTACAATATGAAATATGAAAAAATAACAACCTAAATCTTCAATCTTTACTTACATCAGTCTTTTTTTTTATTAATCATTCATGGTTTAATCCAATATGGATTTATCTTTCTCTTAATGATGATAAAAAGCGAATGGTACTTACTGTAAAACCTTATGCAAATAATGATATAGGGTAGGAAACTATTCAATCAATTAAATCTTTTTAATGATTTCTTATGAGTTCTTGGTACTCTAAGAAGTGTGAAATTGTTGAATTTATCCTATCACGTTACTTGAAGATAATTTATCCTATCACGTTACTTGAAGATAGAGATTCAAAATAACTTGTTTATTCGTGTTTATTTATTCATGTTATGTTAGTTATAATTAAAAAAAAATTATAAACAATGGGGTTAAATTGATTGAATTCTTGTTGAGACTTCGTCATACATTATCCATTCTTCATATAGAAGAAAAAAGTATAGATTATTATGTACCGACCGAACCGATGATTATTCACGATTCCATAATTGAATCAATTACATACTGGTTCCAAACGGAAGGAATGTTATGGTAAAACTTCGTTTAAAACGATGTGGCAGAAAGCAACGTGCGACTTGAAGGACATGATCAGCTGTGGATTCTTACATCCACCACTTTTTTATATTATATAGGAACGAAAGTGCTCTTGGCTCGACATCATTTGTTCTGTTCCACTGGAACCCTCATTTTTGAGAGTGTTGCCATGTAAATAGTACACGATGGAGCTCGAGTAGAACGTATTGATTAATTTCTCAAGGGCAAGAATCTAAGGTTAGTATCGATCAATAAATTGGAACAACTTCGTAAGTATATTTTAGATATATAAATCTAAAGGATCCAATTCGATAAAATTTAAAAGTTAATTTTGTTGGAATTGGTAAAACTCTTTTGATCAAATCAAAAGTAAAGTGTATTACGTAGGAATCAACCATTCATACGATTCTTTGATAGAAAGAAATCACAAAAAATGGTATGTTGCTGCCGTTTTGAAACGATTTAAAGATCACCGAAGTAATGTCTAAACCCAATGATTCAAGGCAAAGATAAAGATCCTGGAACAAGGAAATACCGTTTTCAATTGTCTCAACAACTAGATCATATTTAAGAATCAAAATAGATTCTAAAGGAGACAGACAAAAAGGGTTAGAGACCACTCAATAAATTTAATACCTAAAAGGTTTCTTTTGAATTATTTGAGAGTTATTCAACTTGAGTTATGAGGATACAAATAATTTTTTTTTTGGGGGGGGGGGAGACTACGAAAAAGTATTTAAACTAAAATCAATAATATAATGAATTTGATGATTTTATGGATCTATTTGATATTATGATTCTATACATAGACATAATTTAGACATAGACATAATTTAGAATTTTCTCGAGCCGTACGAGGAGAAAACTTCTTATACGTTTCTAGGGGGGGGGGAGTATTGTTCATCTATCCCAATGAGCCATTTATCGAATCGTTGCAATTGATGTTCGATCCCGACGAGAGGGAAGAGATCTTCGTAAAGTGGGTTTTTATGACCCGATAAAGAATCAAATCTATTTAAATGTTCCTGCTATTCTATATTTCCTTGAAAAAGGTGCTCAACCTACAGGAACTGTTCATGATATTTCAAAAAGGGCGGGGGTTTTTACGGAACTTCGCCCTAATCAACAAATAAAATTCAATTAATGAAATAAAAAAAATGTGGATGATTTGTATATAGCCTTGTATAACCTTTTTGTTTCTTTGCTATTTCCTCTTTTGTTCTATTTATATCATACTAAATTTATTATTGTTACTATAAAAGAGTGTCTTTTATAACGACAAAAATCTATTTATATTTTATTGATATAAATTTTATTGATATATAGAAAATAGATAGAAAAAGATTAAGTGAATAAATAAATGAAGTAATCGAGTCTATAAATATAAAATTTTGAGATTACTGTCAATGAGTTAAGGAACAAATAAAAAAACACAAAGGATTTCACTTGCTTATTTTAGTGAATAAACCTCATTTTTTTTACTTAAATTTTTTTTTCCACCAATATTGTATCAATGTTGTGTTGTATAGAAATATTATATATAGTGCCAATCCAACACAAGTCCTTAGTTTTTTTTTTTTTTTTTCTTATTTTTTCTTAGAATTCAAATTGTCTAATTGATTGAAATTGGAATTGTTAGTTATATTTATAAATTGTTTTTTCTTTTGTATTCTTTTCTCAACATTCATATTGACAACAGTGTATCAAATAAATATAATCCGATCGTGGATAAAAGGATCCATTTCTATCTCCGTCCCATAGCTTTTATTTCATTCAAATAATGGGTTCTTGTATTTTCTGTGATACAAGAAGTCTTTTTTTGATTAAGATTAAACTCAATAAAATCTATATATACTATAGAATTAATGGATGACATAAGAGACAAGGAGCTATTTATAAATATTTTACTTTATCCCTATTTTTATCTGAGAATTTTTTCATCGGATCTGTTCATTTTTATTATGTTCAGAATCTAATCAATTAGAATTTTTAAAATTTGTGCTATTTTAATGTTTTGATTGGTTTGGATTGCGTTGTGCAATTCAATCTTTTTTTTATTGAGATTCCGATTGTATCTACACATTCTAATTATTTTATTTGGGTTGCTAACTCAACGGTAGAGTACTCGGCTTTTAAGTGCGGCTAGCATCTTTTACACATTTGTATGAAGCAAAAGATTCGTCCATACCATCGGTAGAGTTTGTAAGACCACGACTGATCCTGAAAGGAATGAATGGAAAAAGCAGCATGTCGTATCAATGGATAATTCTAAGAATATTTCATTCTTACCGAATAGGTCCAAAACCTTATTAAAATTGTTTGAATTCTTGTCGTGTAATAAAAAAAATGAATTTGGTCGAGTGAATAAATGGGTAGAGCCCTAACTACGGTTCCAATTATAGGGAAACAAAAAGTAATGAGCTTCTGTTCTTAATTTTTGAATGATTACCCGATCTAATTAGACGTTAAAAATATATTAGTGCTTAATACGGGAAAAACTTTTCCCATGAGTGGATTATAAATTTCTTATGAGTCCTAATTATTAGCTATTACCCATTATGGGGTAGAGATAAATGTGTAGAAGAAGGCAGTATATTGATAAAGATTTTTCAAAATCAAAAGAGCGATTGGATTGAAAAAATAAAGGACTTCTAACCATCTTGTTACCCTAGAACGAACATAAATCAATTAGATGGAAAAAGAGAGGCTAGAGAGTCCGTTGATGAGTCTTACTTGTTCCGAGGTATTTTCTTACTATAATACCTTGTTTTGACTGTATCGTACTATGTATCATTTGATAACCCAATAAATCACCTATTTCTTTTCTTGTTCACATTAAAAATGGAAGAATTTCAAGGATATTTAGAACTAGATAGATATCAGCAACATGACTTCCTATACCCACTTATCTTTCGGGAGTATATTTATGCACTTGCTCATGATCATGGTTTAAATAGATCGATTTTGTTGGATAATGTAGGTTATGACACTAAATATAGTTTACTAATTATAAAACGTTTAATTAGTCGAATGTATCAACAGAATCATTTGATAATTTCCGCTAATGATTCTAACCCAAAAAAAATTTTTTGGGTACAACAAAAATTTGTATTCTCAAATGATGTCGGAGGGATTTGCAGTCATTGTGGAAATTCCGTTTTCCCTACGATTAGTATCTTCCTTAGAGGCGACAGAAATCGTAAAATCTTATAATTTACGATCAATTCATTCAATATTTCCTTTTTTAGAGGACAAATTCCCACATTTAAATTATGTATCAGATGTACTAATACCCTACCCCATTCATCTGGAAATCTTGGTTCAAACCCTTCGCTATTGGGTGAAAGATCCCTCTTCTTTACATTTATTACGACTCTTTCTTCACGAGTATTATAATTGGAATAGTCTTATTACTCCAAAAAAAATTATTTTTTCAAAAAGTAATACACGATTATTCTTGCTCCTATATAATTCTCATGTATGTGAATACGAATCCATTTTACTTTTTCTTCGTAATCAATCTTCTCATTTACGATTAACCTCTTCTGGTATCTTTTTTGAGCGAATACATTTCTATGAAAAAAAAAAATATCCTGTGGGAAGAAGTCTTCATTAATGATTTTCCGGCCGCCATCTTATGGTTCTTCAAGGATCCTTTTATGCATTATGTTAGATATCAAGGAAAATCTATTCTGTCTTCGAAGGATACCCCTCTTCTGATGAATAAGTGGAAATATTATCTTGTCAATTTATGGCAATGTCATTCTTATGTGTGGTCTCAACCAGGAAGGATTTATATAAACCAATTATCCAAGCATTCCCTTGATTTTTTGGGTTATTTTTCAAGTATGCGACCAAACCTTTCGGTGGTACGGGGTCAAATGCTAGAAAATTCATTTATAATGGATAATGCTATGAAGAAGCTTGATACATTAGTTCCAATTATTCCTTTGATTGGATCATTGGCTAAAGTGAAATTTTGTAACGCATTAGGGCATCCTATTAGTAAGTCCACCTGGGCAGATTCGTCGGATTTTGATATTATCGACCGATTTGTGCATATATGCAGAAATCTTTCTCATTATTACAGTGGATCCTCAAGAAAAAAGAGTTTGTATCGAATAAAATATATACTTCGACTTTCTTGTGTTAAAACTTTGGCTCGTAAACACAAAAGGTCAACGAAGAAGCTTACACCCGAGATTAATAGAATGCTTGGTGAAGCTAATCTTCACTATGCATTTGGCCAGTTTGAAGAGGCTGTACCCATCTTGTCTGAAGTTGTAAAGAAAGCACCAGATTTGCCTGACTTGTATCATACACTTGGAATTATCCATGATAATCTTGGTAATGAATTGGATGCCTTGAATTGCTACAGAATTGCTGCATTTTTAGCACCAAGAGATCCAGCTCTTTGGGAACTGCTTTTTGACCGGTTCCATAAACGAGGTAACAGTCATGATGCTATTTACTGCCTTTCAACAGCAATATCAGCAGATCCTGAAAATATGAATCTGAAATTTGATCGTGCTTCACTTTATGTTAAGCTTGGAGATTATCAGAAAGCTGCTGCGTTGTATGAACAGATAGTACAAGCCTGTCCTGATAATGTCGAAGCACTCAAAACGGGAGCAATGATGTATGAAAGATGTGGTCAGCAAGAGCGTTCTATACAGATTCTGGAGGACTATCTCAGAAATCATCCAACTGAAGCTGATCTTAGCGTCGTTAATCTGCTGGCTTCCATACTTATGGAAGATAATTCACAAAAGGAAGCCCTTCAGCATACTGAGCATGTACAACTGGTATTCTGTTCAGAAAAAGAGATGCCTCTGGCAATGACAATTGCAGCAGGAATATGCCATGCTTACCTCGGAAATATGGAGAAGGCAGAAAGTATTTTTAGCGCTCTTGATGAGAAGAGTGTAGATAATGCTGACTTGATTGCTAAAGTTGCAAAGTCATATATGAGTCTTGGGCATCATAGTTCTGCGTTGAAGTATTATTTGATGTTGAAAGGAAATGTTGAATTTAATAATGGCTTTATAATTATGAAAATCGCTCAGTGTCATTTGTCCTTGAATGACAGAGTACGGGCGATTTTGTGCTTCTACAAAGCTTTGAAGACACTTGAAGATGATATTGAGGCCCGATTAACATTGGCTTCTATTCTTGTTGAAGAAGTCAGGGAAGATGAAGCCATTTTGTTGCTATCTCCTCCGAAAAATCGAGGTTATATGGAGCCCTAAAAAGATAAATCAGAACCATGGTGGTGCAATGGAAAGGTGAAACTGAAGCTTTGCAACATTTACCGAGCTAAGCGGATGGCCAAGGAATTTGTAGATACAATCTATCATCTCGTACATGAGTCACTGAGCATCGAATCACTTCAGCAAAAGGTGAAAGTGAAAAGAAGGCTCGCAAAAACTGTCCCGTTAGAAAGAGTCAAAGTCCTGGAGGATCACCAAAAACAGAACCTATTGTGCAGATCTAGACCTGTAGCTCCTGCTTCAGATCTGCTGAAAGCTGCAAGAGCGAAGAAGTTGCTTCAGAAGAAGGCAAAAGTAAAGGACGATAAGAGAGCTGAGGCAATGGCTTCTGGAGTTGACTGGCAAAGTGATGATTCAGATGATGATCCTCCGGAAGAAATACATAAAGAACCTCCCCTGCCAGATCTTCTCAAGGACAAAGAGCATAACGGCCTCGTAATAGATTTGTGTAAGTCATTGGCTTCCTTGCAAAGATATTGCGAAGCATTGGAGATAATAAATCTTTTTTTGAAAGTGACTCGCAACACGTCTTCTGTCACAGAGGAACTCCGGTCTCTTGGAGCTCAAATTGCATACAACACTCCTGATCCTGAGCATGGAGTTAACTGTGTAAAATACATTGTGGACCAGCATCCATACAGCAATGCTGCCTGGAATTGCTATTACAAGGTAATTACCAGATTAGATGACTGGTATGCAAGGCATTACAAGTTTCTACGCAATAAGAGAGACAAACTCAGAGACTGTGCACCTCCCAGTCTCATTTCTGGGCATCATTTTACTAAAAAAAGCCGTCATCTAGATGCTGCGAGGGAATACCTTGAAGCTTATAAATTATTGCCGGAGAATCCCCTGATTAATCTATGTGTCGGTACTGCCTTAATCAACTTATCCCTCGGACATAGACTTCAGAATAGGCACCAGTGTGTTGCACAAGGATTAGCATTCCTCCACAACAATTTGCAGCTTTGTGAATTCAGCCAGGAGGCTTTTTACAACATAGCCAGGGCGTATCATCAGGTCGGCCTTGTGACTCTGGCAGCTTGACATTATGACAAGGTTCTTGCAATGCAAGTGAAGGATTACCCCATGCCAAAGCTTCCCCATGAAAAGCCAGAGTCTGCTGAAAATCGAAAACCGGGTTACTGTGATCTTATAAGAGAAGCAGCTTATAATTTGCATCTCATCTACAAAAAGAGTGGAGCGGTTGATCTTGCTCAAACCATCTAAGAGATCACTGCACTTTCTGAGTATGCAACTCTACATTAAAACATTAGAATTCAGTTGCTCTTTGTCTTTGGTCTGAAGTATATGAATTAGTAACAGTATATTTCCCTTGCTTGTTGCAGAATTATGTTCCTGATCTCAGATATTGCGACTGTTTAGATGAGAGGGAGGCTTCCTACTCCCTAGTTGATCTCTCTGGTTCTCAAATACCTATTATTGTTCATAGCAACATTCTGTGGCCTAATCCTCGGAGAAAAGCGAGGGAAACGCTAAAAATAGAAAGGTTCGTGATCCACTAAGCAATTTGTACATGACATTATTGCAAATCCAATGTTAAATCCCCTACTTCGCAGTCCGTCTCCTCCTCAAGTATATGATAATATGATATGCATACACACAAATGTTGCACTTGATCAAAGTATTTTAATATATTACAACCTGATTCTGTTTTTGCTTTTAAACCTTTTCGACGAAATCGTAGCAATAAAAAACGATGAAGCTTTAGAATTTGCAAGTAAATTGTCCAGAAGTACTTTTTATCTTTGCCAAGTTATGATTTTAGTTCATGTAATTTGGCATGAAGTTTCACTTTGGTTCTCAATGTTTGAATTGTCGCAATTTGACTCGTTTAGTTTACTAATTGTTGCACATTGACCGAATTTTGTCAAATTTTTATATCCAATTAGGTCGTGAGTGTCACATGCGAAGGTGAATTGGACCTTTCAGAAGGTGTAAAATGTCGATGCAAATTTTCACCGTCTTCAATCTTGACAAAAATGCACCTACAAAACAGTAAACACCATTAATTAACGGTGCCCACGAGATGGGGGAGGGGGGGGGGAGATTTGGTCAATGGATCTCCGATGCCTAAGTTTCTCTGAGAGAGTAAAGTGTTTAAAGCTTTTTTAGGATTGCCAAAACTCTCAAAATTTGGTAGAATATGGAGTATTTATAGGGATAGGGTCGTTCATGTTGTTTATGGAGAAATATTCTCAAGATATTAAATAAGAAATAATATCTTGAGATAATAGTGTAACTATCCCTAATTTATTTAAATTAGAATTACTTACTTGATTGAAGTCAATCTTTAAATGGGAATGTATTAAAGATAGGATTTGGGTAATTAATCCTTATCTGTAATTCCTTACCAAGGGCAGGTGAGTCGTGGGTAGTTGTATTCAGCTGTTGGGACCTTCAGAGATGTGAGCTGTGCATTGGAGCATCTGAAAAGCCAGCTCATTTATTGAGGGCAATCTTGTATTTCTTAAATAAAAGTCCATGTGTCGCATTTAGAATTTTTAAAATTATTTTAGACTTCACATATGTGTCCTTCACTTTGGGATATTCGGTTGGCATTGGGGAAAACAGAGGAAAGGGAGGCTTTCACCTGAGTGCATGACCACTCTAAAGTGGTGGTAAGCATAATTACTATTAGATTATCTAATTTTCGAGATTTATGTAGTGGATAGATTAAATCAAACTCATTCAACCGTAAAGAATAAATCGGTGAGGATCACCATCACTTTAGGGCAATGAGCAAAAACATTTCGGCTCTCATCATTGCACCTCTCCCTTTTTTTTCCGGCAAAAAAATCAAAGCTCAGGTGATTTTTTATGCTTTTTTTTCTCTCTTTTTGTTTCTCTATGCGATCTTGGATTCAATTAATCGGAAAAAGAGAGAGGCCGGTGTAAAGTGGACTTAGTGGGAGCGTAATGTTCAACGACAATATAATATGGAGGTTCTTATTTTTCTTAAGGGTATGAAAAGAGGGAAGAAGAGAAGGAGAAGGAAAAAAAATGAAAGGAGATAATAATCGTTGACAAACGTGAGGGAAAATTTTGCTAAGATTTGGTTTGGGTTTGCCGAAAATAATAGAGAGGTGCAATTAAGTGGTGGGTTATGGTTATTGAGTGTATAGATAAAAACACCAATCTTTCTTCGCTCAAATAAAAACAAATAATATTTATTTTCTTTTTTCTTATTCATTTAAACTCTATTTGGATGAGAAAATTTAAGATTACTAATAAATTTTAAAATAATAAAAATTCGAATGATGAAATTTTATTATCTAGAATTTGTGAATTTTTTTTGTTTAGTTAACTTAAAATAACAATGGAATTTGAATTCTAAATTTGTTATTTTTAAGTTCTCACTCACAGAAATTTGACAATAACACCTATTTATATGAAATTTAACCTTGAGAATTGGATATCCCAAATTTCAATTTTTTTTTTTTCACACGGAAATTCTAAATTTCTATGTTTATGAATTCATGTCAATTTTATAACTTCTAACTTTTGTCAAAATTTCAAGTTTATTTCTAAACAAAGTTTTAAGATGCGTTTGTTGCACTGTAGTATAAGAATAATAAAGCATATGGTGCAATGTTAGATTAAATTATTTTTAAAATTCAAAAAAAAAAAATTTGGCCCTTTTTAATTGGAGTGTGTTATCCACATGCCTTATTTTACTTCTTAGACTATCTTCAAAAGAAATGTCAAATTATAAGAGTCAAATTACAATTGAAAGCTGATGTGGCAATCTGAAGCCTTATGTCAAATTTTATACTTCTCCGAATTGTCAAATATTATTTTATTATTTGAATAGAGTTTTAATCGATTGTAATTATTAAAAAGATGTTGAAACAAAAATTTTATTGGTTAAAATGTTAGTGGAATAAGGGACCCACTATTAAAATGAATTAAAAATAAATTTGACATTGGTGTCAAATTTGACTTCAAATTCCTAAGCTTTCAAATCCAGTCAACAAATAACATTTCGATTAGAGAGATTTTTAATGTTAAATATATACAGTGGCATTCCATCTAAGATTTTGACATCTCTTTTGGCGATGCTCTTACACACCTCTTGTTAATTTCTATCCGTTGATTTTCTTCAATTCATGTAGACGGTCGAAAATTAAAAAGGTGTTTAAAAAGTAAAATGGGGTATGTGAATATCATCCCCTTTTAATTCTCTCTCTTCCCTACCCCTGCGTGCGCGCGTGGGGACAATCTCTACCATTCCTCTCTTCTTTGCGCCAGACTTGGATTCTCTATTTTTCGTGGAATTCTCAGAGGAAATCCTCGTCTCGTCAGACTTCAAGTCATAACACGCGCACTGGCCAACACAATCTCCTTCTTCACGACATACCCATCCCCTGAATCCACCGCAATCTCCTCCTTCATGTCCTCCTCTTCGTTCAGGTTCGTTGGATACGAACACCAAGTCTCGGGAATTAAGGGCGGCAAATGGAAGAGCCTCATCTTCGGTCAAATCGAGCAATACGGGCTCCATGTCTCGAGAATTGAGGGGATTGGGGGATCCGCAGAGAGAGGTGCTCCAACTCTCAGGAATTGGAGGATCTGCAGAGAGAGGAGTTTGTTGAGGAGGACGACGAGAGAGGCTCTGGATTATTCGACGATTGGGAAGGAGGGGAAGATAGAGACGAGGTTGTGGGCAAGGAGAGGCGATGAGGAGGAGAAGGCGAGGACGGACGGTCTTACCGACTAAAGCTAAGTCCCTTAAAGCTTAATCCGCGTACGTAACAAACACTGGACCTCATTAATTCTTAATCGCGTCTAGTCAAGTGAAACTTAAGAACGTCGAACAAACGCGCCCTTCGGGACAAATTTGAAAGTGCAGAGGAAAAAATTGTTTAACTAGGTGTAGAGATAAATAAATGGGTCAAATAAAGTTTTTCTTTTAATTTTTATACCATTGAGATTGATACAATGTACCAACTGCAAAAAAGTCTTTGCTCTTTAAGAAAGAGTACTGAAAGATGGTTTTTTTTTTTTTTTTTTTTGAGCATACACTGAAAGAGATTTTAGCGAAAACAATTTTCAATTTCAAAAGCATTAAAATGATAGGTTAAATTGTCAAAATGGTCCTTGAAATTTGCATAACACATCACTTTGGTTCCTGAGATTTCAAATCAATAGAAGTGGTCTCTGAGATTGTCCACCATTCATCATTTTGATCATTCTGTTAAAAACTCCGTTAAGTGTCTAGGAGCTCTTGGCCAGAAGTTTAGGCAATTTTCAAAGTTTCGTAACTCAATCGTTTCTTAATCAAATTTGACCCATAATATATCAAAACGAAGATAGGAAAGTGTATAAGATTATACCATTTGGAAGCCCAATAGTTGCTTGAGATGGCTGGAAAATAGCCTCAAAGTTAACTGGTCAGTGGGAAAACTGGAAAACTCGTCAGAAACTGGGTAAACTTTAAATGTTCATAACTTCTTCAATACTCAAGGAAATCAAGTGATTTAAAAATGAAAATCATACTTCTCAACAAGACGAAGATAATGGTACCATTTTTTAGGGCTAAATGGCCATGGTTTGGCTAGAAAACGGCTTGAAAATGGCTATCTTGGTCTCTAGTTAGCCACTTTCAAGCCTTTTTTTGGCCAAACCATGGAGATTTAGCATAAAAAAAAAAAAAAAGGTACCATTCTCTTTGTCTCGTTAACAAGTATGATTTTCATTTTTGAATCACTTGATTTTGTTGAGTATTGAAGAAGTTATGAACGTTTAAAGTTTACCTAGTTTCCGACGAGTTTTCCAATTTTCCCTCGGACTAGTCAACTTTGAGGCTATTTTCCGACCATCTCCGGAAACCATTGGGCTTCCAAATAGGTATAATCTTATTCTACACTTTCCTATCTTCATTTTTATATATTATGGGTTGAATTTGGTTAAGAAACGATTGAGTTACAAAGCTTTGAAAATTGCACAAACTTCCAAGCAAGAGCTCCGGGACATTTAACGAAGTTTTTAACGGAATGACCAAAATAATGGATGGTGGACAATCTCAGGGATCACTTCTATTGATTTGAAATCTCAGGGACCAAAGTGATGTGTTATGCAACTCTCAGGGACCATTTTGGCTATTTAGCCAAAATGATATTTCTCTTCACTTGTAAGTGAAAGGTTTTAGATTCGAATTTTATGGATAGCGAAGTTAATACCAAATTAAATTGCTCATTATGTGGCTTAATCGAACTCTCCCTCTTCTCAGTGTAAAATATAATGTTGTACTAAAACAAAATGATTTTCCTTGATCAATTTACATTTTTATAAATAAAAAAAATTGATTTAATAAATATCTTCTTTAAAAATACTTTCATTTAATGTTAGAGTGACTAAATTTGGAGAAAATTTTTGATAAATTAAATGACATGAAAGTTGATGATTGATTTATTACTTAAATATTGATAAACGTGCTTAATTCTATTAATAACAATTCATTTGATTTGTAAATTTTATAATTTAATCACTGTAGCATATTCTATTTAAAAACACTTTACAACAATCTTTCTCCATACGAAATACTTTCGACCTTCTTCTCTTCGTCTATTTTGTACCTGATGGGACATTGCCAAGTTGTAAGCAAATTAGATTGTTGCCGCGTGTCTAATGTGTATCTGTGGATGT